CCCCCAGACTCCCGCCCCCCCGTCCCCACTGACGTCCCCTACACTGCCACACACTGCATATATCCCAGCTTTATTTACACCACACCTAAATGCAGCCACACCTTCTGCTATACATCCAAATCCCTTAGTTCATCCAATATTTCAAGGGCATGACCCCCATCACCATTCTTGCTCTAGCCAGACCCAACAGTTACCTACAATAAAAGAAGTTTTCAGTGTTTCTAGCTATTTAAACTAGCCCAAATGATTACACTATGGCTCCAAAACCAAATTTGAATAAAATAAATTATTCAGTGTTCAATCAACATGTCTGAGGGGAAATTGGCTGTTTTGCTGATAGTGCAATGGCAAATATTTTTAAGTCCATATTCTGGCTGACAGCATATGAATGTTGATTTAGTTCTAGTATAAACTGGATATAAACTGGTTTAAAGCCTGCTATTACACTATGACAAGGAGGATGGAGTCCAGTACATTTGGAAAGAACAGCCTGAAGTGAAGTCTGTCACTGTCAGTAGGAATGGGACCACATCACCCAGACATAACCAAGAATATCAACACAGACGAGTGATAGCACAATTTAATGTGGAGCAACCTTGACACACCTCAAAGTTTTGCTTTTCTGAGTGTGTGTGTATATGTAAAGGCATAGTACTTGGTCACAAGAGGGTCACAACAACATGTCAAAGATATTTTGATATCTTTGTCACAGATGTCAAAGATGTTTTTATTTTATCCCTGTATTATGTTGTTTGGACAGTGTAAAAGGACAACAGTCTGGCCACAGGTCCATAACAAAAAATTCCCTTGGTGTGGTGGTCTCTGTATTGACACAAGCAGGCTGCTACTGTTCTCCCTAAGACAAGCATCCAAGAAGGCAAGGAAAAAAAACTGGGATGAAGCCAAGTTCTTTGGCATCGCCTGCCTGTGGTTGTATCATAAGGTATGTCAGGGGTGGGCTGCAGCAGCACAGAGTTGCCACAGCTACTGCTGTCTTTGAACCTCAGAGATGCTTGACCGAGACTGCAACACTTCTTTCCTTCCAAAAAGAGCATTGACATGTGGGAGAGTCTTGCCCAAAGAATGTGTAAATATGTTTCATCTCTTTCACAAACAACATAAGCAATTGGATAGTCCTATAAAATTGTGCTGATGTTCATAATAATGCAGAAGAAAAATTCTGAGTAGAAACTGTCTCTCCAGGTCAAGTCTCATAGAAAACCATTCCACAGTTCTCATAATTTCAAGGTATATTGAATGTAAACAACTATGTCAAGATACTTGCATGGTTTCCCAAACTTTCAATGTACAAACTGAAGTTGTGAATCTGCAATGTTTGAATGCATGTATCCAATCTTCAGGGTAAGGTGTGGTTGAAATTGCTAGAAATAACTGTATTTGGCAGTAGATGAGGGCTTCAGCACCTCTTTGAATGGCACATTTTGACTATTTTTATAGTATTTCTAACTCAACATAGGATATTTAGCATGAAACAAAGTTCATAATTATGGTTAGGCTGCAGGCATACTTCCCAACGTAATTGGACAGTGAAGTGTCTAACAGACCCATTTGTTTGGAATAGAAACATTTGAAACTAATTAATTTGTAACTAGGTAGGATACAATTAATAATGTATCTTTCAGAATCGATATAAAACACATTCAAAAACTTTTGGAGGATTTTATTTTATTATATTTGGTGATGTGAAGAAACCGAGAGATCTAATTGCAATTATTTAAATTACAACTCTAGGACCAATATTCTAACTTAGTTTTAATCAAATAGATTGATCTATTGCAATAAAATGGAACTGTTTTAATTTCTAAAAGCAGCTGCATGAGCATAACTTGGCATTATGCCAAACTTTTCAAATGACTTTACAGGTTATAATTGTTTGGGTTTTTTTCTTTTCAAAGCTAAAGTTTATTTGGATACTTAACATTTTAACCATAAAATAAAATCTGTCAGGAAAAAATCTGGAGACTAAGCAGAAGCAAAACACTTTTTTATAAAAAAAAAAAAAAAAGGTTAATGAAATCAGCACCCTCAAATATCATTTGGTTGGATTCCCAGCTGATTTATTAATTTCATTAACCAAGCAGACTAAAGTAATTTTGGAGTTACTTGTCTTTATGGTTTTATTTCCTCATTTTAAATCTAATGGAAATAATTGCTTAAGAATTAGTCAGGAAGTCAGGAATTTTATTTGGAAAATATGTTAAAAATAAATACTTCAGTTTTAAAAGTCACCTTTTAATTTTGGCTGAAAATCTTCCCAAAATTAGAACTGAAATATATGTAATTTCTATATTTCTGAAACTTTCTTTTCTGAGAATCAAATATATTTCACTGAATGTGACTTAACACCTCTAAAAATTAGTACTTGCTTGCTCAGATGGAGATACCTCACTCAGTTGACCACTTGGAAACATTAAGTTATAATTTTGTATAAACACTCTGAATTGGACACCTAAAAGAAGTGGGTCAGCCTGTGCCCTAGAAGAGGCTGACTGGGGTGCACAGCCATCACCACCAGTTTAGGTCTAATACTAGTTTAAAAGATGTATTTCCAGCCCTACAAACTTTTGAATTTATGGGGTCAGTTCAATTCCTATTCAAGAAAAAACATTCTCATTGTACATATGAGTTCATTTGAATCATAAGTAGATAAAACCAAGAAAATAAATTGTAACAGAAAAATTACAGGCTAATCTCATCTTTAATGGGTACATAGACAATTTGTATCCCTGCTTCTTACAGGCAATCTCAATATTATAGAAATACGTATGGCAAAAAAACCTGACCAATGAAACTTTACAACATCCTACTCTGTAGATAATTTATGTGAAATTGTTATATATCTTTCCCTTAATGTATGCACAATATAGCAGGATTCTAGGAAGGAAACAAATTATAGGATGTCCATGCACCATTGTTTATACCAACAAGGATGATCTGGTAAGGCAAATGAATACACAATAAAGATTAAATTTAACTCTTGGAAAAATGGGAATAAGGATTTGGAGAGGTATTGGTGGGAAAAGAGAGATAAGAAGGAACATAAACAGCATAAGAGCAAAACAGTGATCATTGAATGCTAACAAAGGGAGTGTCCAATACAGTTCTTAATACACAAAAGGAATTTTCTTGGAGAAATGTAATAAAATTATCAGCACAGCTGAGATTATGTATTTTCTCTACTTGCTGCCATATTTGTTTCTCATCAGTAATGTACTTTAAATATGTATCACTATTATAATTCAAAGTGTAATTGAGTCTTATGTATGGAGCCGGGCTACAATTTTTATTTTATTTAGACTGATTTTTAAAAGAGCTACAGTATCCTTGTGGCAGCATTATATACACTTCAAGTTAACAGTCTACTTTAGCTTGATTGTATATTCTTGATATGTATTCCAAGAGAACAGATCACTTACACTGTAAATTTCAAAGAACAAAAGTTTCTTGAGTTACACAATAATTTTTAAATTTTTTTAACTGAGGCACTTCTGGAATACATTAAACATGTGTATTTGTTGTGCAGATTTGCATAAAAATGTCATTTGACCAGATTGATTTGAAAAGTGTTACTTTAATATTTCAAACTGGATAATGTTCTGGCTAGTATAATATGTAAACTAGTAATTTTTGGGTTTTATTCTCTGTATAAAGTGTTTTATATTATACAGTAGCTAAGTGAATTGCACTATTGTACATGCAATGCAGCTTTTTTTTAGGTTATTTAAGGAATTCCTGGGAATGTAGTTTAATGCAATAATATTTTTTTTCAATAAAAGAGCTTACTGGTATAAAGAGTGTCAGTCATGTATTTTTAATGTAAAACATACCAAAAGGCAGCAACATAATAAAATGCAGAATCTTGCAAACATATTCTGTATTTTAATCTGCAGAATTGAAATGCATTTAATTTATCCCTGTGGCTATAGTCCTGAGGTTTCTTAGAATGTTTCCTAAAGATTTTAGTATGTGTTACAAAAGTGGGTTGTTTAAATGGAACTGAAAATAAATATTCCTTAACAAAATTACTCTATCTATGTGATTTTTGCAAGTACTTTTAATGCATCAGCATCTTCCTGGATATTTTTATGTTCTAATCAGTTTATTTAGAATTACACTTATAACTCACTTGTCAGGTTCCCCAAATAATGTCTGCAAGCTATGTTTCCTAATGCTTGTGTAGAAGGTCCTTCGGTAAAAAAGATAACAGTAGAATGCACAAATGTATTATTTCTTCACTTTTTAGCCATTCTTTAAAACTTACCTTAGTCCGAATAAATATGTCTGTGCCATGTTCTCCCTTTTATCTTGTATTTTTCCAGTTTGTTCAACCTCAGCAAGGGAATGGGGTTCTTAGAGATCCTGTTTCCCCAGTGTCTGGTCAAATGGGAAATCTGCAGGCCCTTTGAAGACTTCCTGTCAGCCTGAGGTAAACTCTCAGGGCTTCTCCCATCACAGGACTGAGTACTGCAGCTAAAATGCATCTGGCCTGTAGGCACAGGCTAGGCAGCATTGTTACACAGCCAGGCAGAATACAAAATTAGGGCTGCAAAATCTAATAGCTTCTCTGGCTACAACCAACTCAGGATCTGAATACACAAGGCTGATTTAAAGATGTTCCATCTTCTTTCTCCTCAACCACCAGGCACAGGTTTCAACACTCACATTTGTAGTGGGTTTGGCTTCTTCCTCTCCTCTCCTCTCCTCTCCTCTCCTCTCCTCTCCTCTCCTCTCCTCTCCTCTCCTCTGGGCTGCAAAATCTAATAGCTTCTCTGGCTACAACCAACTCAGGATCTGAATACACAAGGCTGATTTAAAGATGTTCCATCTTCTTTCTCCTCAACCACCAGGCACAGGTTTCAACACTCACATTTGTAGTGGGTTTGGCTTCTTCCTCTCCTCTCCTCTCCTCTCCTCTCCACTCCTCTCCTCTCCTCTCCCTCTCCCTCTCCCTCTCCCTCTCCCTCTCCTCTCTCACATCAGCAGAGCCAAAGAGAGGGATGAGACTGAGCCAGGACAAGAAAAGAGTGAGAACAGCACAGGAAAGGAAGCTGGGAACATATTAGGTTCATCTCTTCACAGGCAAGGTTTCAGTTCTCATGTTCCCCTGCAACATCAGCAGAAATATTCCTGCACTCTGGTGGGAAGTCTTTCAATTCAGTGCATAATTTCACTATGCAAAACAAGCATCTTAACATAAATTTTATACAGATGTAAAAA